GCACGTTTCTCTCTTTCACCCTCCATTCGTGCCTCTTCAAATTCTTCAGCACTGCTGGTCACAGCTGACCTCTACCTGGAGTGCTCAAGGGCTAGGGCTTCCCAGTTCTCAGTGTCTATGCCAGAGTTTTTAAGGTTAGCTTTGAGCCCATCTTTAAATCTCTTTACATGTGGCAGAAGCCAACAGCACTGCCTGCACTATAAGAAATTGAAAAATGTCTGTTTGCCTTATAGTATGCACGGGTTATAATGTGTATACATTTAATGTATGATTCTTCATCATCACCATCATCATCATCATCATCATCATCATCATCATCTTTAATTACTTATTAATCACCCTCCACCCGAGATGCTCCAGGTGATTTGCATAGCAGAAATTATACAGGATAAAACACATACATACAAATATTAAAATTAACATGAGTCGAATGCTCTAGTAAAATTCACACAACACCTCGTGGCAATGGTGTTACATGCCCCCCTTTGCAGCCCTCTAGCTGAAGAACTGCCTCATCCATGCCTGTTTTCATCAAGAAGAACTCAGAGGAGGGAACACATGGGCGAACAAAACCCATCAACAGTTAGAAGATACTATTGACAGATCGTTTAGTCACAAATTTTTCAACCATGGTGAGATCCATTGTATTTGTTTTGCAATCACATCTACCCTCAATGGTTATCTCTAAATAAATAGTAAGAAAGGTAAAGGATTTCCCCTGACAATAAGTCCAGCCATATCCGACTCTGTAGGGTGGTGCTCATCTCCATTTCTAAGCCGAAGAGCTGGCGTTGTCCATAGACACCTCCATGGTCATGTGGCCTGCATGACTATACGCAGAGGTTGCCCTAGGTAATTTTCAATGGTAAGCAAACAGTATTTTGCCCCCCCCCCCCCAATCAATCACTGATCTATATTTTCTGTTCGTCGTGGGAGTTCTGTGTGCCATATTTGGTTCAATTCCATCATTGGTGGAGTTCAGAATGCTCTTTGATTGTAGGTGAACTATACATCCCAGTAACTACAACTCGCATATGTCAAGGTTTATTTCCCCCCAAGAGCGCCTCAAGAGCGCCCCTGGTCCTTTTTGGCATTCCAGAAGAGAGTGAAGACCTAGAATCATAGAATCCTAGAATCAAAGAGTGGGAAGAGCCCTCCTGGGCCATCCTCCAGTCCAACCCCATTCTGCCAAGAAGCAGGAATATTGCATTCAAAGCACCCCTGACAGATGGCCATCCAGCCTCTGTTTAAAAGCTTCCAAAGAAGGAGCCTCCACCACACTCTGGGGCAGAGAGTTCCACTGCTGAACGGCTCTCACAGTCAGGAAGTTCTTCCTAATGTTCAGATGGAATCTCCTTTCTTGTAGTTTGAAGTCATTGTTCCGCGTCCTAGTCTCCAAGGAAGCAGAAAACAAGCTTGCTCCCTCCTCCCTGTGACTTCCTCTCACATATTTATACATGGCTATCATATCTCCTCTCAGCCTTCTCTTCTTCAGGCTAAACATGCCCAGCTCCTTAAGCCGCTCCTCATAGGGCTAGTTCTCCAGACCCTTGATCATTTTAGTCGCCCTCCTCTGGACACATTCCAGCTTGTCAATATCTCTCTTGAATTGTGGTGCCCAGAATTGGACACAATATTCCAGGTGTGGTCTAACCAAAGCGGAATAGAGGGGTAGCATTACTTCCCTAGATCTAGACACTATGCTCCTATTGATGCAGGCCAAAATCCACTGGCTTTTTTTGCCGCCACATCACATTGTTGGCTCATGTTTAACTTGTTGTCCACGAGGACTCCCAAGATCTTTTTCACACGTACTGCTCTCGAGCCAGGTGTCACCCATTCTGTATCTTTGCATTTCATTTTTTCTGCCAAAGTGGAGTATATGCATTTGTCACTGTTGAACTTCATTTTGTTAGTTTTGGCCCATCTCTCTAATCTGTCAAGATCGTTTTGAATCCTGCTCCTGTCCTCTGGAGTATTGGCTATCCCTCCCAATTTGGTGTCGTCTGCAAACTTGATGATCATGCCTTCTAACCCTTCATCTAAGTCATTAATAAAGATGTTGAACAGGACTGGGCCCAGGACGGAACCCTGCGGCACTCCACTTGTCACTTCTTTCCAAGATGAAGAGGAAGCATTAGTGAGCACTCTCTGTGTTCGTCCACTTAACCAATTACAGATCCACCTCACCGTAGTTTTGCCTAGCCCACATTGGACTAGTTTCCTTGCCAGAAGGTCATGGGGGACCTTGTCGAAGGCCTTACTGAAATCCAGGTACGCTACATCCACGGCATTACCCGCATCTACCCAGCTTGTAACTCTATAGAAAAAAAGATCAGATTAGTCTGGCATGACTTATTTTTGATAAATCCATGTTAATCTCTCTCTTGAATTGTGGTGCCCAGAATTGGACACAATATTCCAGGTAAAGTGGTCTAACCAAAGCGGAATAGAGCATGGGGAGCAGGACTTCCCTAGATCTAGACACTAGGCTCCTCTTGATGCAGGCCAACATCCCATTGGCTTTTTTTGCTGCACCGTTACCTCCCCACCGGAGCGGTATATATTAATCTACTCACATTTGCATGTTTTTGAACTGCTAGGTTGGCAGAAGCTGGGGCTAACAGCATGTGCGCACCCCGCTCCCCGGAGATAAATAGTAGACTGTGCATATTTTATACAGTTCCATGACCTCCTTTATTTTCTTTTAGGATGACACTTTATGAGGACGATATGTTCTCGTAGCAGCCGCACTCGATCTGTGTTACTCTTGTCCATTTCTTTTCAGGTATTCACAATAAATTTGAATTCTCTATTTGCTAAATAATTCAGGACGTTCTTCCAAAATACTCTTTATCTCCCTTAGCCTGACGATTTGCATGCTAAGTTCTTCTTACGTCCCGCCCCGCTTCCTCTTCTTCTCTTTCTCTTTCCTTTCTTTTCCCATTTTGTCACCGTGGTCCAAAGGAGTGGAATGAATAACATTTGCCTTTTAGACATCCGTGGATTTTTACATGTGACACATCCATATTCGTCAAGAGTTCCTTGTTCTCCTTCCTGTTCTTCTGAATATAATCGGAATCATCTGAAGGCCTTTGTTCTCTACAAGCCTTCCACTCAATGAATTCTGTAAAAAAAAAAATTGCTCCAGAATAGGTGCATTATGCATTTTTAAGAAAGGGAAGTGCAAGATGATTGGGAGAAGTGGAATTAAGGTTAAAAAGAGAAAGAATGGTGAAGATAAGGCAAAACTTGAGGGTTGGAATTTAGAGAACACATGAACCAGCCCCTATTTATATTTGTCGTGTCAGAGCAACCAGTCCATTATATATTACATTTCTAACAGAACAACGCAAACAGACAGAAAAATACACATCTTGTGAGTTTGGTAGTTGGTTAAATGTCCTTTGACCAGTATCTGGCCACTTGGAGTGCTTCCGGTGTTGCTGCAAGAAGGTCCTCCATGTGCATGTGGCAGGGCTCAGGTTGCATTGCAGCAGGTGGTCAGTGGTTTGCTCTTCTCCACACTCGCATGTCGAGGATTCCACTTTGTAGCCCCATTTCTGAAGGTTGGCTCTGCATCTCGTGGTGCCAGAGCGCAGTCTGTTCAGTGCCTTCCAAGTCGCCCAGTCCTCTGTGTGCCCAGGGGGGAGTCTCTCATTGGGTATCAGCCATTGGTTGAGGTTCTGGGTTTGGGCCTGCCACTTTTGGACTCTCGCTTGCGGAGGTGTTCCAGTGAGTGTCTCTGTAGATCTTAGAAAACTATTTCTAGATTTAAGTCGTTGACGTGCTGGCTGATACCCAAACAAGGGATGAGCTGGAGATGTCACTGCCTTGGTCCTTTCACTATTGGCTGCTACTTCCCGGCGGATGTCAGGTGGTGCAATACCGGCTAAGCAGTGTAATTTCTCCAGTGGTGTAGGGCGCAGACACCCCGTGATAATGCGGCATGTCTCATTAAGAGCCACATCCACTGTTTTAGCGTGGTGAGATGTGTTCCACACTGGGCATGCATACTCAGCAGCAGAGTAGCACAGGCAAGGGCAGATGTCTTCACTGTATCTGGTTGTGATCCCCAGGTTGTGCCAGTCAGCTTTCGTATGATATTGTTTCTAGCACCCACTTTTCGCTTGATGTTCAGGCAGTGCTTCTTGTAGGTCAGAGCACGGTCCAGAGTGACTCCCAGGTATTTGGGTGCGCTGCAATGCTCCAGTGGGATTCCTTCCCAGGTGATCTTCAGAGCTCGGGATGCTTCTCTGTTCTTGAGATGAAAGGCACATGTCTGTGTTTTAGATGGGTTGGGGATCAACCAGCCCCTAATCCTGTGCGATTTCCTTTAAGGATATGAAGAACACCATAACTCAGTGCAGTGATTCTTATGCTATACTTACAGGAGGGAGGATTTAGGCCCTCATTTCCAAAACAAAGCTGAAATTGCCAAGTGGTTTAATGATCTCCTTTCTGATTTCTTGCAGTTTGCAAGGAAGGTAAGCTGTATAATACGAGGGTTGAATGAAAAGTCATGCCTCCACCTTCGTTACTTGGGTTTGGATGGGAATATTTTAATAAATCAAACGCAGAAATAATCCTTGAAATGGGTTGTTGTAGGTTTTTCTGGGCTATATGGCCATGTTCTAGAGGCATTTTCTCCTGACGTTTCACCTGCATCGATGGCAAGCATCCTCAGAGGTAGTGAGGTCTGTTGGAAATAGGAAAAAGGGTTTATATATCTGTGGAATAATGACCAGGGTGGTGTATTGTCGAAGGCTTTCATGGCTGGAATCACTAGGTTCTTGTGGGTTTTTTCGGGCTATAGGGCCATGTTCTAGAGGCATTTTCTCCTGACGTTTCGCCTGCATCTATGGCAAGCATCCTCAGAGGTTAGTGAGGTCTGTTGGAATTAGGACAATGGGTTTATATATCTGTGGAATGGATGGGGTGGGGCAAAGAGCTCTTCTCTGCTGAAGCCAGGTGTGAATGTTTCAACTGACCACCTTCATTAGCATTTGAAGGCCTGGCTGAGCCTAGGAAACTTTTTTGTTGAGAGGTGTTAAGATGTGCCTGGTTGTTTCCTCTCTGCTGTTTTGCTGTTGTAATTTTAGAGTTTTTTAATACTGGTAGCCAGATTTTGTTTCAATACTAAGGCTTCCTGCCAAAATGGAACTGTAGAGGAGAGTCTACTAAACAAGCCAGTACCTGCTGCATAGCAGTACTGCCATCTGTTGAGGAGTTACGAAGGTGGAGGCATTACTTTTCATTCAACCCTTGTAGTTGCCCAGGAAGCTTCTAACAAACATTTAGGTCATTAAATGGCCTTTTATTCCATCTATATATCTCAGTATTTCATGGTGGGCATTCAATTGAAAAAGATGCACAGTAAATGCATGTGCATTTTTGGACAGGCAAATGCCAATCACCCCTTTTGCGCAGAAGCTTAGCAGATCAAGCTTTGGAGATCATACTGGACATATTTGTGTTTGGCAGAGCTTGATGGAGAAGGTGTAGTCAACATAGATGTACATATTTCATAAATACCTGAAGTAGCTGTTGTAGTTCAGCGTGATGGTAACGTTACTACTACTGGTAGAAGGGAGAAGAGGTCTGCGCAGGAGTTAGAGGAGGAACAACAGCGAAAGCGCATTAGGGAGATAATTATGGCCCCAAGTGATTCTGAGACGTTTGAGGGCTTCTCTGATTGCGAAATGGGAGATGGGGAGGAGAGCAGGGGAGTAAAGAGGGCTACTCGCGATCCGGAGTCCGATGAGGAGCTTCAGAGGAAGCGCATCCGGGAAATACTTACTGCCCCGACAGAGGATGAGGATTTCATGGGGTTTGAAAGGAGTGATGGGTCTGGGAGTGATATGGGAGAGGAGGAGGAGCTGGATTGGACCCGTGTTCAACAGATTAGGGACATTTGTAACCAACCCACCTCCAGTGATGAATTTGAGGGGTTCACAGGGGATTGGCAACCGGGGAGCACTTGGCAAGATCTAAGTCTTGGCAGACGCTGGCAGAGGTGGAGGGATGCGCGCTCGGGTTCAGCTGCGGGGATGGATGCAGCTGAGAGCGATGAGGAAAGGGTGGGGAGCTCATCATCCTCTAATGAGGAGTTGTAGGATAAAAGTGGGTTCAAAATGTATGGCTCTTTGCAGAAGGCAAAGTGTCTTTATGGGACATAAATCTTTGTTACTGCCAACTCTTGAGCTTGGGTCCTTGGGCTACAGCTTCCTGTGTTCCTGTGTTCCTGTGATTCCTGCGTTCCAGTGTTTACATTACTCAACGGCTTGACCACGGACCGGTTTGACTATCGCTTTTGGCTTTTGGGACTTTAAACATTGCTAACTTCGTGTTTGAACATTGCATCGTTTTGGGACTCTGTTTTCCATCTTCTGTGACTGTGTTTTTGTACTGTGTAAATTTTTGAGCAGATTGCTGAACTTTGAGTTTAACCCGGATTAAACAGCGTTATAATCCGGGTTATATTTTTGTTGTTGGTATCGCTTTGTTTTTGATGCCAAATTGCTGCTCTGACTCTTTGCACTGAAGTTAAGTGCTTTGAAAGACTATTTTTGCATAATAAAGCTGTGTTTGAACTCTTTATCTTGTGTTTGGCTCTACTTAAGGCTTCTGGGTCTTGACAGTAGCCATGTGCCTCTCCTTCCCACCCTCTTGCTTTCCTTCTCTCTCTCTCTCTTATACACAAACCTAAAATATAGCACAAAACAATTTACCTAAATCATGGAATTTTTTTTAGCTATTAGCTGAGCCACAAGCATTTTCTTTTCTTTGTTTTTGTTTCCAGGCACACAAGTTTAATCTCCCATAATACTGTTCAGGATAAAAATGCTAATAGTAGCGCTTTCCAGCAATTGTGTGCTTGTCCCCATTGGACCTCTAAATAAAGTCTGTGTAAAAACGGGAAAGGTAGTAACCCTGCAGCTACAACTATAATTATCAGGATTTAATAGTGTTTATGAATGACTTGCTATGATCCAAGGGATAATAATAGGTCTTATTAAACATTTATTCCAGCATTTTTTATACAAAAGTTGGGCCTTTGAAATGTCACAGGAGTGTGCTCCTTAATGCCAACTTTAAAAAACACACACAAGGAAAGAAAACTCTGAAAGCCGTTTGGAGAGAGGTCATAATGCTGTCACCAAATACAATATTAATGCATAGCTTTAGAAATCTGAAAACTTGTTGTTGTTGTTCATTTGTTCAGTCGTCTCCGATTCTTCGTGACCTCATGGACCAGCCCACGCCAGAGCTCCCTGTCGGCCGTCACCACCCCCAGCTCCTTCAAGGTCAGTCCAGTCACTTCAAGGATGCCATCCATCCATCTTGCCCTTGGTCGGCCCCTCTTCCTTTTGCCTTCCACTTTCCCCAGCATCATTGTCTTCTCTAGGCTTTGCTGTCTCCTCATGATGTGGCCAAAGGACTTCATCTTTGCCTCTAGTCTCCTTCCCTCCAATGAGCAGTCGGGCTTTCTTTCCTGGAGGATGGACTGGTTGGATCTTCTCGCAGTCCAAGGCACTCTCAGCACTTTCCTCCAACACCACAGCTCAAAAGCATCGATCTTCCTTCGCTCAGCCTTCCCGAAGGTCCAGCTCTCACATCCGTAGGTGACTACTAGGGAAGACCATGGCTTGGACTAGGCAATGGATCTTGGTTGCCAGTCTGATGTCTCTACTCTTTACTATTTTATCGAGACTGGACATTGCTCTCCTCCCAAGAAGTAAGCGTCTTCTGATTTCCTGGCCACAGTCTGCATCTGCAGTCATCTTTGCACCTAGAAATACAAAGTCTGTCACGGCCTCCACATTTTCTCCCTCTATTTTCCAGTTGTCAATCATTCTTGTTGCCATAATCTTGGTTTGTTTTTATGTTTAGCTGCAACCCGGCTTTTGTGCTTTCTTCTTTCACCTTGATTAGAAGGCTCCTCAGCTCCTCCTCGCTTTCGGCCATCAGAGTGGTGTCATCTGCATATCTGAGGTTGTTAATGTTTCTTCCAGCAATTTTCACCCCAGCTTTGCATTCCTCAAGCCCCGCACATCCTCGCATGATGTGTTCTGCATACAAGTTAAAAAGGTTGGATGAGAGGATGCAGCCTTGCGACGCCTTTCC